GTTTCTTCGGACGCAACTTTTATTGTGTAATTTTGTTCTCAAAAGGTTACAGCAAGTAAGAAGGTTAATTCAGAGGTTGCATAACATATTCGCAAGAATTCTTTAATGGAAGACAGAGCGTACCTTAATTTCATGAAGCGTGAAATCGTCGCAGTCTGGATCAAAAACGTGTACGTGGGGAAAGTTTTTAAGTTCTTTAGCACAAATGATATAATAGGATGGGTCTGTCATGCGATAATTCAACACCTGGCATAGCGTATTGATGTCGACATATTTTGATGTGCAAGCCGCTCGAATGGTATTATTCGAACAGCTAACGCATTCAATGCATTCTGAATAACAGTGCGTCTGAATCTCACATCGTGCAATTTATCTTTCAATTATTGCAACAGATATTTGTCACAATTTGAGGTATTTTGCATTGATTCACGCGGTTGATTCAACTAGTCAATGACAGATCATAAATTATTACTCTATAATAAGCGTTAATTTCAAAGTGATTTATTGCAATCTTTTTTTTTTTTTTAATTTGACTTCTAAAGTGAGTTTTTGCATGTATCACGTTGTCGCGCAATTATTCACAAAGTACGTGTAGTCGTACCTCCAGAAAGATAGGCATGAAGTTCTTGCGCAGTGTAATAGCAATATTCACCAGGTAATACACGTATTACTTTCATCATTATTTTTCACCTTTATTTTACTAACTTTACTGCATAATTAAATTAATGACCACTTACTGTATCTTGTAGAATAACACTGTCAGGAATTTGACTTCGAAATAAATTGTCTGCTTAGTCATTTGCAGTATCTGAATTTTTGCTTTGCACTTCCCTAAACTTCCTCTATAATTTGTTTAGATAAACTTGTTCATATTAGTTTTTTCAATGTAATGTTAATTTTTATGAATTACGATGGCAGAAAATTTAAAATAAGAACTCAGTAATACACTTTCGTTGTATTTCGATAACTTGATTGAATGTGATTTATTTCCTTTGCTACTTTTTATTCTACATTTCAGGTTCTTTTGTTGAGCTGATTTTGATTTAATATTTTTCAAATTTATGAATTTCTTGACTTGAAATAATTGTATTTTATTAATA